TAGGGTTGGGTTGGTGAGTTAGGTCGTCAGGATGAAGGTCCAGCTCCTTGTAACATCTGACGTACATGATGTCACAAGAGCTGCCTTGATCTATTAGGATGCGTTTTACTTGGCACTCCCCAACTTGGAGGGATACTACCAAGGCATCATTATGCGGATGCTGGACCATTTCTAGGTCGGCTTCAGTGAAGGTTATCATCAGTCCTTGGCATTCTTCAGGCCGAGGTCTTTTGTGTCCGACCTGGTTCACATGCTGCAAGTGTTTTACTCTTTGGGTTTCTCCCCGAATGTCGTTTTTGTTCACCTTTGAGTGAATGACATTAACCACCCGTGGTCCTCCTACCTGTGGTTGTTGTGCTGGGGGAGGCAGAGCTGCAGGTGCTTGAGGCAATCTTGCATGTTCTTCTCTTGTCCTGGCCTCATCAACAAGGTCCCTCAGATGGCCTTGCCTTACTAGGTCTTTTAAGTGTGTTTTTAAGGCTCTGCAACCCTGAGTTGGGTGTCCTTCTTCATTGTGGCAAGCGCAGCGCCTACCAACGTTTCTTTCCATAAATTCCCCTGGTGCTCTTGCCGGTGCCCTGAAATAGGGTTGATTTCGTATTTGATCCAGGACTTTATGGATAGGGATTCGGAACACCGTCGTCACTGCCTGTTTACCCTTCAATTCTGTTTCTTGTTTGGTCGGCCCGTTGTTACCTCGGCCTCGCTTCGGCGAGCCGTTTCCCTTCTCCTGCTTCATCTCTTTGTTTCCTGAGGTATCTTCCTCGGCTCTGGCGTACTTCTCGATTCTTGCCATGAGTTCCTCCATGCTTTTTGGCAATGTTTTTGCCAAAGACTTCCGTAGTGGGCAGTCATCTTTCAGGCTATTCTTGAAAGACACGACCGCCACTTCTTGGTTGGATTCGAGTATTCGATTGAACACCTCGTAGTACCTCTTCGCGTAGGCCCTAAGGCCTTCTTCCTTGGTGATTCTTAAAGCCATCAGGGCGTCGACCCTCAAGGGCTGTAGTTTGTTTGTTACAAACCTGGCCACAAACATCTCGGCCAGGCCTTCCCATGTCTTTACGCTTCCGTTCGGTAGTTTATGGAACCAATCAGATGCAATTTTCCCAAAGGATGAGGGAAATACTTTGCAGAGCAACGGCTCGTTCCCACTGTATAATGCCATTGAGTTCAGGTATAGTCCAACATGAAAGTTGGGATCTGACTTACCATCATAAATTTGGAACCTCGACATACTGAATCTCTTTGGCACTTCAAATTTGTCTAGTTCCACCGAAAATGGTGTCCTTGGCTTAACTGGGGAAGTTACCTCGGCTTCAACATTCTGTTGCCTCCTCTTGAGGTAATCTCTCAAGTCTTCTTTACTCCTTCCTGGAGCTCGGCTATCTTTTGATTTCAATCTCTTCGGCACACTACTTTCGGCCTCGTAGTGGGCTCGTTTTGATCTCTCTCCATGTGTTGTGTCAAAGCAAAGCGCCTGCCCTTGAACATGGTGATGTTCTTTGGGCGCTGGATCCTTCATGTGATACGTCCTTCGGGACTCTTCTCGTCTCGGCTCCACTCGTCTGCCTTCCCTAGAAGGTCGGTGAGAGTGCCTTCCGCTCCTGGTGTGCTGAGGGACTTCGGGGATTGTTCTTCTTCCTCCCTTCTGGGCATTGGTTGCTGGCATCTGTGTGTCCTGCAGCGGGTATGGTGGCTACATGACATTATTTTGCATCATGAAGTTGATGACCGACTATAGGTCCGCCAACTTGTTTGCCAAGTCTTTTACTTCCTCATCCCTCCGTAGGCACCTATCCCTCCATACCTGAAGGTTATCTTCGTTATAGTACTTGCCTTGGTTTGTCTTCTTTGAAGTGTTGCCCTCCTGGCCGACGTCTTTCTCGACGTGGCCTTGGTCATGAGTTTCTGCATTGTGGTTGTCTCCTTCAATATCAAGGTCAATTGGTCTGCCACTCCCAGCAGGATTGTCGCCCCCAATGTTTTCCTTCTGTCCGTTACTGGCCATCTATTCTTTTAAGATTCCTACAGACGGCGCCAAATTGTGTGGGTAATTTTCTGACCACACTGCCCGCCTAGTAATCAGCTGGAGAGCACCGGCAGAATAGATGGCTTCAGCAAACCTGTAACAGAAAGAAATGGCTCCGGCGGTGGCTCTTCCACTCGGGGGCACTCCGACGATCAAGTCAGTATATCTCTCAAAGATAATCAAGTGCTAAACTTACAAGCTTAAGCATAAAACTGCGTACTTTAGACCCACGGGGGTGCCTCTCTTTTATAGTTTACTTAATCCAAGTCCCACTAGAAGCCTGACTTCTATGGACTCCAATTCAATACTGACTTTGGACTCTTCAAGAGATAAAGATAAACACCCTAATAGTTTTATCCGTATCTTTAGCAAAGTCTTCTCTGTACTCTAGGACTCTTGCCCCTTATCCATTTATCCGCTTATCTCGGATTCCGATATCTTCGGAGATCACCTCGGCCTCGCCAAAGATAACCTCGTCATAACTACCACAACATGTGGCACCTCGGCTAACACGTCGGCGTCACCATGCCACGTGTTGATATTCAGAAAATACATCCCCACAGTTAGCATTATTAATTAATATACCAATTAGTTAAATTATATCATAGCATTGTTCATTCTAATTATAATCAATTTGTTTTCTCATAAATGCTAAAGAATATCTTAGTGCATTGTTTGGTACTGACATTAAATGAAAAATGTTTTTAAAAGTAACTCAAAAACTTAAGAAAAGTTCTGAAATCAGAAATGTGAATATCAAACCCACAAGTATATGTGAAGCCAATTTTTCTACAGATTTATCAATTTAACTTCATCTATAGATTTATGAATTTAACTTCATCTACAGATTTATCAATATACATTCATCTATATATATATACAGAGAGAGAGAGCATACGCAGAGAGAGAGACTCATCACCGGACCACCGTTACTTGTCGTCGTAGCTGCCGCACCACCGCACCACCGCTAGCCTGCTCGCCGTTCGTCGCTCGTCCAGAGAGAGCCGTTTGCCTTCGTAGCTCGTTTGAGGATTTTGGGGAAAAAAAATTTGTTTCAAACATTTAGGGATTTGGATCAAATGATCGAGTGGCAAGATGAAAGGGAAGAGTGCGGGGGCCAATTTTTTTTTTTTACTTTTTGCAACGGTACGTTTTACACCGTCGCAAATGGTAACTAATTAGTTCATAAAACGATGCCGTTTTCATAAGCCTTTTTTTGCGACGGACATTTACCATCGCAAATTGTCCACTATTTGCGACAGCAGGCATATGCCGTCTCAAAACAATTTTTTTCGTGACGGTAAAAAACGCCGTCGCTAATACTTTCGCATTTACCACCCTATCCACATAGTTTATTACCGACGGGACAACGCTGTCGCTAAAACCTTTATTTGCGACGGTTTAAGCTGCCGTCGCAAAAGACCATTTTTTGCGACGAGAGACGCGCTGTCGCTAATTCTTCTGTGTTTTTTACTCTATTTTCTTGTAGTGATGCCTCATCCACACAAAATATTATAATATGTGGTTCTTAAAATATAAAAACAATTCAAACCACCAAAACTGTGAACATAACAATAGTAGAGATTGTATGCCTCTGTATTGTTACATCTATATTTGTTTTTGAAAACAAAAACCAACTAGCATATATAATTTTTTATTTTTATTATTTTTAGAGTTAGATTTAAAAACTAAAATATATAGTTAAATAATACATTTACTTTTTCAATTCAAAAAATATATTTAAGTTGAAAACTATTTTTCAGCATAATATATTCAACAAAATATTTAAACTTTTTTTTAATTGAAAACACAAATAGAATATATAAATAAATTAAAAACACAAAGTCTTATAAATTACTAGGGATCCCCGACGGTTTGGCGGTTCGGCTGCGGCCAAATGAACCTCAAATCCGCCATCCGTCCAAAACTAGGCGGATTGAAAAAAAGCAATCCGCAACCGTCCGCTCATCATCACGCATCCGTCTAAAATGCAGCGGATCGGTTCGGTTCGGTCGATTTGGACGGATCGGTATATTTGTTGCTCACCCTAATTCACACACAGTAAATTAGTGAAAGCTGGCACAGGTCCTCAGTTTGGTGAAAGATTTGAAATGTTTTTAATTTGATACATGTTTGATAAAATCATTGAAGACCAAAAAAGTATATTTTTTATCAAATTTAAATTGAATAGATTTAGTTAAACAGTAAAAATGACCTTATACATGTAATTTTATATTATAAAAGTATATAAAACAAGGGTAGTGATTGAGAGTTTTACCACTAGAACTCTAATATAAACTCTAGTGAAATGTTAAAAAAAAAAAAGAAAAGAAAAGAAAAAAAAGAGTCAAAATATCATATCATCATGTAAAATTTACCATTAGAGCTCAAACATTATGGATAAAACAAACGCAGGTTCAGAAATAAAATGATTTTTCTTTTTCTTTTTGTAATAGTCAACTTATAGTGTGGACATATTGAACTCGTGTTTGACCGTTTTCTCATCAATGGACTTTCCAAACACCGTCCTTACATTAAAAAAAATAAATTAAAAAATCACATGTATAAACCAACCAATTTCCAATTTCCACATGTATTATATGCCTCTATATATGTTCCTAGCTCCTCCATGTACGTTATTACATCCTCAGCCCTCCCCAAACAGGCCATAATATTTTCAGTCTCTCTCTCCTCAAAAGTCTACAAACAATGGCTGCCTCCTCTGCTACACTCAGAACCACCATCTCTTCCTCCCTAATAAAGCTCTCACCCACCACTTCACCTACGCAAAAACAACTATCATTCAAGCCCTCAAACCCCATTCTCTCTCAAAACCTCAAACTCACCACCACTACCACCACCACCACCAAAGGGTTGTTTACTTGCAAGAGCCAGAGCAACCCATCTGACGCTTCAAGACCCAGTAAGTAACTATTTTTATTTCACTTTTCAATTCAACCCCTCCAATATCTTCCATATTCATCAATAATTTGTCATGAGGATCATCTAATTTCTTTCTTTCTCTGTTTTGGTTTTAGGTAAAGTACAACAACTGTGTGTGTATGAGATCAACGAGCGAGACCGTGGAAGCCCCGCTTACCTCCGATTGAGCCAGAAGTCAGTCAACTCTCTTGGCGATCTCGTCCCTTTCACCAACAAAGTCAGTCCTTGCTCTCTTCTTCTTCTGGGTTCCTTTTATTTTCTCGGAAATTCAAATTTTTTCTCCAGAAAATGAGTTCAACATGGCAAGATCTATAAAATTTACATACATAGATACATATTGTCTATACTAAAATTCCAAATGTCACTTGCCAAAATATATACATGTTTATAAATGTATGTTGCAAAAGCCTTTTAATCTTTCCTTCGAAAATAGATAAATTACAATCAAGTCCCAAGATTTTATAGCCGAACGATGGTTGGCAACTTTCATCAGTGGAAAACTTTAATTGACCTTTTTTCTCCCGGGCGAAATTATTCCCGGGAAACAAACAGCGTCTAACTTGACTACACCCTCACCCATGTGCAGGTTTATACCGGTGACTTGCAGAAGCGGTTGGGAATCACTGCCGGAATATGCATTTTGATACAGAACGTACCGGAAAAGAAAGGTGACCGGTACGAGGCTATCTACAGCTTCTACTTTGGTGACTACGGTCACATGGCGGTGCAGGGTTCGTACCTAACCTACGAGGACACGTGCCTCGCTGTGACTGGTGGGTCGGGCATCTTCGAGGGTGTGTACGGTCAGGTGAAGCTGCACCAGATAATTTTCCCTTTCAAATTGTTCTATACTTTTTACTTGAAGGGGATACCGGACCTGCCGGTGGAGTTACTGGGTGCGCCGGTTCCTCCGTCGCCTGCGGTGGAGCCATCGCCGGCGGCGAAGGCATGTGAGGGTGGAGCCACCATTAGTAACTTCACTAACTGATGAGATGTAATAGTATGTGGAAATGATTATGATGGGTGTAATGTTGATGATGACTGAGATTGGCAATAAAATGCACTTTTTCATTTTCTTTGTGCTGTCTTTTTTATTTTTTTTATTCATTTATTTTATATGGTGGTAGTGGTGGGTGGGTGCACCATTAGTTTGAATCATGATTTTATAGTAATTTTAATAAAATTCACGCCTTTTGTTTTCAAAGAACAATTCTAATGTGTTGTTATAATGATTGTCATTTTTATTAAGAAATCTTACGATAACCATTTACTTTTATGATAAATTGGTATTTTGAGGAGTGGGTAAAGAGTTGATTTTTTAATTTTTTTGATTTTTTTTATAAAAAAATAAAAAGATGTATGACTTAAAAAAATTAAAAAGTTAAAAAGTTGACTTAGTTTTTCAAAAGGACTCAAATTATACCACTTTTCTTGAGTTTACAAAAAAATATTTTTTATAGTATTTTTTAATGATATGAATAAATAATTATGTTATCATTTATTTTATGCTAAAATTATTTTTATTTTTATATTTTCACATCATGTGTATTAGTCATACTCTTTTTATCTTTATTAAAAGATAATTAGTATAATTATGTCAAAATTATAAGATTTGTTATATTTCTAAACATTAAAAGAAGTCAATATAATTATCCTCATTTCTATCATTTCTTTTTGCCATTTGATGTGTAGTAACATAGTTGTCAATATTATATTGAAAATATCCTCATAATACTATGTTGACAAGTGCAATTACAAGTATAACATGGTCTAAAAATATGATAAATATAGTATTATTCTTCTCAAATTATAGAAGTTTCTCGTAAGAAACTATCTAGCAGCTTGTTATTACTCAAAAGATAGTTTTCATTTAGGAAAAATTTATAATGTGCAAATTTTCAAATGATACACATTATAAAAAAGTTATGATTTTTATGATAAATGTTATGATTATTTGTGAGGTGTGTTATAACATTTTGTAATAAAGTTATAAATAGAGAATTTATAATGTGCACCATAAAATTAGGAATGACAATGTTATGACATTTTGCGATTTTTGTTATGACACTTTGAGATTTTGTTATGATATTTTTCAATAAAAAAGAATTATGACTTTTGTAGTGAAAAAGTTATGATATTCTGGATTTAAGTTATGAAATTTTATAAAAAAATTATAAAAGGCATATCATATGCACCTTTTTGAGAATACACATTGTAACATCTCCCTTTAATTTAATATGATTAATGAACATAAATAAACAATGATTTAGATATGTTAAAAAAAATCGTTTACGCTACTTACTATTTACAAAAATATTTGACACTAAATAAAAAGGCTTTGTATAGTAAAGATGATGGTGCAATTTTAAAAATTTGCAAATGCTTTGTATAGTTTACATTAATTAAAAATTTGAAATGGATAGCCCTTGAGAGAGTAAGTGGAGACATCGAAAGAGCCACGAGTGTTGAGAAATAAGCCACCGATGAGAGATATATGTGAGGACATATTTTGTGAATGATAACACATAGCCAAGGTGGCACCGAAGTGTCAGCCGAGATGCCACATATATTGGTCATGTTGCCGAGATGATCTCGGCTAAGTTGAGGTTATCTGTGGAGATATCAGAATCCGAGATGAGTGGATTAGGGAGTTTTATCTCTATCTGGTTGGAAGTCTAAGGAGAAGCATTGAGTCAGAGTCCATTGAAGTTAGGCTTCTACAGGGATCAGGTTAATGCTGGCTATAAAAGTAAGGCACCCTCGTGGGTCTAAGGTACGTTTTTTTGTATTCTAACTTGTGAGTTAAACACTATTTGCTATCTTTGAGAGATAACTGAGTACCGATTTGATCGTCGGAGTGCCCTGGGTGGACGAACCACCGCCGGAGTCTTATCTTTCTGTGACAGGTTGTTCGGGTGTGATTCATTCTGTCTGTGTTCTCCTGTTGAGTTCCTGTTTGACAGTGTGGTCGAAAATCAACACCCATAATTTGGCGCCGTCTGTGGGAAACATAAGGAGAATAGATGGCCAACGACGGGCAGAAAGAAAAGATTGGGGGAGTCATTCCTAGTGGGAGTGGTAAAAATGCCGATCCTAACGTAGAAGAGGACAACTGTAACAAAGAGCCTCGGGATAAGAATCCCGGAGAAAGAGACGTCGGCCAAGAGGGAGACGTACCGAAGGAAGCATGTCAAGGCAGGTATTACAACGAAAGCGACCTCCAGGTATGGAAAGATAGATGCCTGAGGAGGGATGACGAGATGAATGACATGGCAAACAAGTTGGCAGACCTACAATCGATCGTCAACTTCATGATGCAGAACAACGTCATGTAGTCACCGTTTTCATTAGAGGACACGCCGATTCCAGCGACCAAAAACGATGCCTAAAAAGGAGGACAAAAAGCAATTCCTACAGTCCCTTAGTATGGCAAGGCAATGGAGCATTCGCATCGGCCTTTAAGAGAGGTTGGGCGAGGAGAATCGATGAGAGAAGAGTCTCAGAAGACACCTCGTGCCAAGGAGACTCACATTAAGGAACAATGGCATGTTCAGGGAAAGGAGCTCTGTTTCGACACAATGAATAAAGGAAGGTCCAAGAGGACTCACAACGACACCAAGAGCAGCGCACCAAAAAGGCTGAAATCCGTTGACAGCTAAGCTCCTAGACGGACTAAGAAGGATTTGAGGAACTACCTCCAGAGGAAGCGACAAGATGCCGAGGTTACGTCTCCGGTCAAGCCGAGAACGCCGTTTTCAATAGAATTGGACAAGTTTGAGGCCCCAAAAAGGTTCCACATGTCGAGATTCCAAATATACAACGGTAAGTCTGTTCCCAACTTTCATATCGGCTTATAATTGAATTCAATGGTATTGTATACTGGGAACGAACCTTTGCTCTACAAGGTGTTCCCCTCATCCTTTAGTGAAATCGCATCAGATTGGTTTCACAAGTTGCCAAAAAGAACTGTGAAAAGCTGAGAAGGCCTGTGCGAGATGTTTGTAGCCAAGTTCATTACAAACAAACTGTAGCCGTTGAGGGTAGACTCCCTGATGGCGCTAAGAATCGGTGAGGATGAAAGCCTCAGAGCTTATGCCAAAAGGTACTATGAGGTTTTTAACCGAATATTAGGGTGCCACCAAGAGGTGGCGGTCGTATCTTTTAAGAACGGCCTGAACGATGACTGTCTGCTTGCAAAGTCACTAGCAAAGACACTGCCAAAAATTATGGAGGAACTTATGGCCAGAATCGAGAAATATGCGAGAGCAGAAGAAGACATACCGAGAACAAAGGCGTCGAAGCAAGAGAAGAAGAACGGCTCACCGAAATGAGGCTGAGGTTATACAAACTTAATAGAGAAGAAACGGGACTGAGGGCTGCACATGCAGTCATCACAGTGTTTCGGATCCCAGTTTACAAAGTCCTAGAAAGGATCAGGAACCAGCCTTACTATAGAGCACCAGAGAAGATTCCTGGCGAATTCATGGGAAAAAGTCTTGGGAAGCACTGTGCCTATCACAATGAGAATGGACATCTGACTCAGGGGTACAGAGCCCTAAAGACACATTTGGAAGATCTCGTAAGATAAGGTCATCTAAGGGACCTAGTAGATGAGGCCAGAACATGGGAAGAACAAGAAAGGCTGCCCCAGGCACCAGCAGTACCACCTCTACCAACACCACAATCGCAAGCAGACAGACCTCGAGTGATCAATGTAATTCACTCAAAGGTCAATGAGAACGGGGTACGTGGGGAGCCTCAGAGGGTAAAACACTTACAACATGTGTATCTGGTCCAGCAAAAGAGGCCTAGAGCAGACGAGTACCAGGGACCAATGGTGTCCTTTACTGAAGCTGACCTAGACATGATGCAGCATCCACACAACGATACTCTAGTGATATCCCTCAAGATTGGAAAATGTCAGGTAAGGCGCATTCTAATTGACCAGGGCAACTCTTGTGACATCATATATGTCAAATGTTACAAGGAGCTCGACTTTCACCGAGATGATCTGGAGCAGTCTAATAGTCCAATGGTCGGGTTCAATGGAACGCTGACATGGCCCCTGGGAGCAATAAGTTTAAAGGTGCAGGCAGGCAGGCACCAAGAAGGTAAGCATAGAGTTCACAGTAATCGACACCCCCCTCCCCTTACAATGTTATCGTAGGAAGGCCATGGTTGCAAGCAATGAGGGTTGTTCCCTTAACACTGCACCAGATGTTGCGGTTCCCAACAAAGTATGGAATTGAGAAGGTTAGAGGGGATCAGGTGCAGGCAAAGAATTACTCCATGGCAGCAATGAAATCCATCTGCAACCTGCAAGAGGTAGAGACAATAGAGATTGAGGACGAGGACATGGAGGTCCTGGACGATGTCGGCAAAGAGTCAGCTGACAAAAGCGAGGAAGCCTTGAAGAAAATTCTGGTCCAGCAAGGGGATGAAAAGCGCTTCTTCCTCCTTGTCTCAAGCTTGGCCGAGAAAGAGGAAAGGGAGTTGGAAGCATTCTTGCGAGCAAACATAGAGGTGTTTTCCTGGACGCCATATGAGATGCCTAGCATTGACCCCGAGGTTACATGCCATAAACTAAACGTAGACAGATCGGCAAAACCCATTATTCAGCGAGTGACGAGGCCGGCGTTGGTTTATGTGGAGACAGTAGAGAAGGAAGTGGACAAATTATTAGAGGCCAAAGCCATCCGAGAGGTAAACTACCCTACTTGGTTGTCCAACACTGTGGTTGTGAAAAAGAAGAATGAGAAGTGGAGGGTCTGTGTGGACTTTACTAGCCTGAATAAGGCTTGTCCCAAAGACAGTTTCCCACTCCCTAAGATCGATCAATTAGTGGATGCCACTTCAGGACATAGAAGGATGAGCTTCCTGGACGCTTACAGGGGGTATCATCAGATAGCAATGTACCCTCCTGATAAGGAGAATACTGCATTTATCACCCCAAAAGAACTGTATTGCTACAGAGTGATGCCTTTCTAGTTGAAAAATGCAGGAGCAACGTATCAGAGGTCAGTGACCAAGATGTTCAGACATCAGATTGGCAAAACAGTGGAAGTATATACCGATG